ACAGCAATTCTAGAAGCAACTCTAGTTTTTCTAAACAATAGAAAAATAAATATTTTCACAAATAAAGAGAATTTAGAAGACTAAAAGTATAAAATCATAGTATAAAATAAAAAATCCAAATATTTTTAAAGCTATAACTAAAACTTAATATCTAAAAATATTAATATTTATTTTATTAAAATAAAAGTATATATAAGAAATATACTAAATAATTTTGTAAACAAAGTAGCAAAAAAAGATATACAAAAAGCAGAAACAATAGTTTTTAATATAAATAAAATCTAAAAAATTATCTTTAGACCAATATGAAGAAGCCAAATAATTGAAAATCTAATTTCCAATTTTCTTAAAAAGCTAACTCATATATTTTATAAAGTAGATTGGCTATTCTTTTAAAACCTAAAAGATAAAATTTATTAGAAAAAAGTTGCTAATCAAGATTGGAAAATTTTTTAAAAATTGTAAAAAAAAAAAAAAAATCTTTTAAAACTAACAAAAAATAGAGCTTTAAACTTAAAAACCTAAATAGATTACTTTTTATACTCTAATCCAAAAAAAAAAAAACTAAGAAAACCTCTATTCTTTGGCTAAATACAAAAAATATTTATAAGAAGAAGAAAAATTTTAATTATCTAACAATATACAAAGCAAATAAAGCAAGATAAATAAAAAAAAAGTATATAATTATAAAAAAAATATAAAAAAAATCTAAATATTCAATTCAAAAAAAAAAAAAATCTTAATATATAAACTAATACAAACAAATTTGCCTACATTTTTGCACTTTTTTAGCTCTAATCTATTTTTTTAAAATTGTACCGAATTAAGTTTGTCTAACGACAATCGATCAAGTTATAGTAGTGGTAATGGCTATTGGTATGCTGATAACCCTATCAATTGATTGTAACTCATACAATATTAAGTAATAGTTAAAGTAGTTAGGTTTTAAGAGTAAAGTACAATTGATACTTATCGTGTTCATATGACACAATCATGATTAGTGATTATGATCGTGCACCTGATAAATTAATGCAGGGTTCATAATTGAATAACTGATAATTAATGCGCATGAACAATGTAGTAATAAATATATTAATTCTTGTAATTAGTAATAGTCACTTATGTATATAAATAGAGAAATAAAATAATAAAGAATTTTTACCTTTCGCTTGATAAAAGTATCAAAGTAACGATCATTATATAATTAACAGCGGTTACATTTGGTAGCAGCAAATATTTTAAACAAACGACCTATCAATCACCATAAATCAGCCATTAAGTCGATCTGATTATAATGGATTAAGATCAATTTAACCAGTTTATTGATAGGTTTGTTACAAACCAGGATGCCATCAACACACAAATTGCAAAACTTCTTAAGAACCAAAATGATCAAGCATGAACTATACTAACTTTCACAGAAGGAAATTATTACTATGGACCAGCCCAAATAAAAGGTCTATTGGTACAATTACCTATATTCCATGGAAAAGAAAGAGAAAATGTAATAACTTGGTTATTGCAAGTTGATCTACTATTCAAGGCACGAAAGGTAGATGATGAAGAATGGTTATAATATATTATTATAGGGCTAAAAGATGCTGCATTATAATGGTATCTAAATAAAGTCCTTTGTAACAAAGATAGAAGACTGTTTAAAATATGAGAAGATTTTGCTAAAGAGTTAAGATTGGTGTTTCAACCTTTACAATATTAGCAATACTTAAAGTGGCAATTACAAAGTATTAAACAAACTTTGACTATACAGAAATACACCACTAGATTTAGGAATTTACTTGGTTAGGTAGAAAGTATAGAAGAAGAAGACAAGATACTTAATTTCGTAAAAGGCCTAAAACTAGCAACCAAGGCCAAAGTCAGTTACCGAGTATCTGAAAGCCTTGAGAATGCAATGTGATTGGTGATAACGTATGATTCGGTGATGTACAGTGTTGGTGAAATAGGTTGTCAAGTCTCTGAAGAAATTAAAAGCAATGTTCCAAATTTCAGTAGTTTGAAAGATAGTAGAATAATACTGATAGAGCTTGACCGAACTAAAATAAAAAAGTTTTCTAAAAATAAAAAGAATTCTGATAAAGATACAAAGAAGAAAGAGTATAGACAAAAAGGGTTATACTTTAAATATAGACAAAAGGATTATATAGCAAAAATATGCCCTAGAAGACTAAATTCAAACCTTGGTAGTTCTTCAAGTATAAGTGCTAACAATGAACAAGCGAATATAGCCAAAATAGAAGTCAATGTTAGTAGTGAAAAAAAGGAAAAACTCCTACAAATAAAAGGAAGAATCGGTAAAAAGGAAGCTTTAATTCTGATTGATTCGGGAGCTTTCAAGAATTTCATTAGCATACAGTTTATAGAAAAACACCAATTAAATGTTAATAAAAGTTCTGAAAGAACATCAACAGTAGAATTAGCCAACAGAACTCGATATGAATTACGTAGATATGTTACAAATATAGAAATTCAATTGTATTTATAGAAAGAATACCAAAATTAGATAGAAGTCCTACCATTACAGAAGTACAATACAATCCTAGAGAAGCCATAATTGTATGATAATAACCTGTAAATTTTTTTTTTTTTATTTTTTTTTTTAATGTTTAAGGTGAGACCATGCTCTTATCTTTATTAGTCTTAATGAAAACTTTTTACATTATTGGA